CCCCAAAGATAATCAATTATTTTCTCATCAAAAGGAGGCTAACAAAGAAAGGCTTTAAGGATGAGGACCCCATAATTTACGTAAGCCTCCAGCTTTAACAAGATTTCCAGAGTGTTTAGAACTTCACAGGAACCCAGTACTGGCTCCAGCTTCCTCCAGCAAATGGAGTATTTACAGCAGCTGAGAAATCCTTTCATTGCTAGGGAAAAAAACACCCTAGAGTGGCCCTTAAATGGGATACATTCATTAAATTCATTTAATCTGCACACTGATGTGGGGCAAGGGAAATGGCAGGAGGCAGGCAAGAATGAATGAATTTTGCCCCAACAGATCACCATTGCACCCCCCCTTCCTGGGCTTCAGGGTCCTGGGCTCCTTCACACCTCCATGGCCCTTCTTCTCCACCTGATGACGATGATTCACCCCCTCATGGTCAGCTCCTGAGCCCAGACTCTTCTTCTGCAAAGCACTCCTGGCCTCGCCTGGCAGAAGTAGGTTTTTTCTCTAGGTCCTCATGGTGTTTCATGCAAACCCACCTGACAGCATCTCCCAAGTTATTCATTTCTTGGACTCTTTTCTATACAATATAGTTTCCTAAGGACAGAGTCTGGGTTTATTCATTGTCAATAATCACAGAAGCTCCCACCTCGCACATCCAGCACCTGGCTGGCTTCAAATAGGTCCAGTTCACCTCTTTGGAAAGCCACTTGGAGGCTGAAGCCAAACCATAGCCCATCATTCTCTGAGAAGCACATTCAGTGGAAAGAGCCCTTCCTCCCTACAGACCAAAATTAAAACCCAACCACAATTTCAGAACCCCCCAACAAGACACTCATTACAGAAGAGCTGCACTTTAAGAAACAAAGACAAATCCAAAAACCATTGTTCCCAAAAGTCACAGAAATTGGTCAAGCACAGGAAAAGGGTCTCTTAAAGGATGCATCACCAAACGGACCCAGGGCTCCATTTCCAGGAGAGGAGACGAGGACTTGAAACAGACGGGGCCACTGCCCACACCACGGGCCTGGCCCAGGAGGACCTCCACCTTGGTAGGGCCTTGGAGGTTCAGGGAAAGTGATGATGTCCTTATAATGTTAAAGACAGAGGACAGGCAGTAAGAGAGAATGCTGATCCCTTTTTCTTCTCTACTTCCTTTTTCCAAAGTTAACTTTTATTTATTTTCTGAGTGTGTGTGTGTGTGTATGTATATACACACAAAACAAAATTCAAAAGTCACAAGAGTGAAAAGTAAGACTTTCTTCCACTCTTTTTCCCCAGCCACCCATGTCCCCCACTGCAGAGGCAATAACTTCAGCTTTCTTTAAATAATTTATAAACCTTTGAACACTTCTGATACACACTCATGCACTTATGCAGGTATGTGAGCAGGAGGTCAGCTGGGCCTTGGAAGATCCCACTCTATTCCTTCCATATCTTAACTCATGCAACATCAATGCATGCCCACCAAGAAACAAATCCCAGGAAAAGCCCAGGGTCTAACCAAAGTCCGGGTGCAGCAGACTAAGTGAACACCTCATCATGTATCCAGACGGTCCTATTAACTTGGACAAGAACTGCAGAAAGTCTAGTTCCAACCCCTTCCATGTGCCCATCTTTGCTTAAAATCAGAACTTCTTGCCTCTGCTTGCACTCACTTTTTCTGAGAAGATTCTCAGAAATGTTAAGGTCGTCAATACTAAGTTTTTCATCACAGTAGAAGTCAGCAGAACGTTAATGCAATACAAAGCACAGTTCCGAATTATTATGGGCTGAACTGTGTCCTCCAAAATCTGTATGTTGAAACCCTAACGTCCTGTAGCTCAGAATGCGACTGCATTTGGAGACAGAACCTTTGAAGAAGTAATTAAGCTAAAATAAAGTCATTAGGGTGGGCCCTAATGCAGTATGACTGGTGTCCTTATAAGAAGGAAAAAAAAGGACACACACAAAGTGGGACGACCACGCGAAGACACAGGGTGAAGACACCATCTGCAAGCCAAGGAGAGGCCACAGGAGAAACCGCCCCTGCTGAAACCTGGACCTCAGACTTCCGGCCTCCAGAACTATGATGAAATAAATTTCCATTGTATAAGCCCTTAAGTCTGTGGTGCACTGTTACAGCAGTCCTAGCAAACTAATGCCGTAATAAAATATATTTAAAGCATTTGTCGGTGCATTAGCAATAGGTATTTCCAGGGGGTAATGGCAGAATTATAACCCACTGGATAAAACAGGAGTGCTGTGAGCATACTAATACAAGTAAACACAGGAATACAAGCCTGATGAAGTTGACGGTTTCCAAGAACCTCCCCATCAAATACCAAATGCTGATTAATTTGAAAGGGAAGGCCTAACAGATGCCACCTCTGCCAGTCAATCTCATCAGTTAGGGGACACAGTGACCCTGTGCGCCATCCAATGAGAGCAATGGAAAGGTTTTATACAACATCGTTTCTGCAGTGGGCCTGCCCATAGACAAAGCCTGATAACCAGAAGTGGTGGGATTTCCTACAAAATAACCTGCCTGCGCTCTTCACAAATGTCAAGGTCATGAAGGTCAAGGGCAGGCTGGGGAATGTTCCAGACTAGAGAACACTCCAGAAGCATAGAGCCAAATGACCCTGCAGTGAATCCTGCTGCTCAAAGGGACATCACTGGGACCGCTGTTGCAAATGTCCAGATTGGAGTCTGATGGTGGTCATGCATCTGTACTAATGTTGTGATTTTCATGATGGTTGTATTAGGATTATGCACAAAAAAGTCCTTGTTTGTAGAAAATACACACTAAAGCATTTTGGGGGTAAGGGGACATCTTGCCAGCTGCTTACTTTCAGATGGTTAGAGGGGGGACGAGGAACTTCCATATACTCTACTTGCAACTTTCCAGTAAGTTCTGAACTTCACATATATAACTTGGAAAAACTGAAAAAAATCCTAAATACTGGAAACGAGTGGAGTGTTTGATCTGTTACAGGAAATGGCACTTGACCAGATAATACGCCACCATTAAAATTGATTATTATAAAAAGATCAAGTAGGTAACAAGAAAAACATGTTTACGAAATAAAACCACATCAGTATGATCACAAATGTGTTAAAATGCAAGTACAATGAGTCCGACGTCCTCACTTGACCTCATCGATCAGGTTCTTAGAAACTCCCACGTTAAATGAGACGACATGCTGTGTGCCGTAAGAACTTAACTCTTGTTTCTATCAGTTAGCGTACGGTAGAATCAGTTTTGTTCTACAGTATGTCATTTCACTTGAAGTCACAGTTTCCAAGAGCCTAGCAGTGCTTTTAAGTGAAGACTTCCTGTTAGTACTCCTTTTTCGATGGTGAGTTATCTCCAGCAGTACAGTCGCAAATAATTTTTGTTTTCTTATTTATACTATTTTTCTTCTAAATACTGACATCCGTGTATTAATTTTATCATGCGGTGAAAAAATTAGGGAGGACGAGCACTCCTGAGCTATCCAGCCTCTTCAGCGAAGGTGATTAGCAAAGAGAAAACAAGACCAGGGAAATATCACATGGAGAGAGGGTTCGTAGAGAAAAGCCTGACGGGGGCAAAGAACCTCCTGAGATGAAGAAGGATGAGGGGAGAAATTCGAGGAAAGGCATTAAGGCATCTGAATTTTGAGGACTTGAAAGGAAGTTCTACTGACGGAGCAGGAGGGCAGGCGAGGCTCTCAGGGCGGGCGGCAGTATGTGTCGGGCATCCATCTAGCTGGGCAAATGGAGTGTAGGGTTCCACACTGAAGCCACCTCTCCTTGTCACATACAGGGAGAAGCCTGAGCAGCCTGCAATTAGGACAGTTTGGTTCCCACCCTTTCGACCTTGAATGAGAACCCAGAGCTGACAGTTCAGCCTATAGAGCTAGCCCATGACCAGCCGGGCGCAGTGGCTCATGCCTGTAATTCTAACACTTTGGGAGACTGAGGCGGGTGGATCACGAGGTCAGGAGTTTGAGACAAACCTGGCCAACATAGTGAAACCCTATCTCTACTAAAAATACAAAAACTTAGCCAGGCATGGTGGCAGGTGCCTGTGATCCCAGCTACTAGGGAGGCCGAGGCAGGAGAATCACTTGAACCCAGGAGGTGGAGGTTGCAGTACACCAAGATTGCGCCATTGCACTCTAGCCTGGGCGACAATGTGAGACTCTGTCTCAAAAACAAAAAAAAGAACTAGCCCACGACCAAGACAATCCACTCCCCATGAGAGCTGGCGGGTGGTCTCCAACTGACCATAAGAGGCAATGAAAATGCTCAACGAAAAAATATATACAAGATGCCTCCACTTACCGAAAGGTCAAAAACAGGCAACACTAAGCAATCTGCTGTTTAGGGATTATTATGAACCGAACTGTGTCTCTCCAAAATTCTACCTTAAAGTCCTAACCCCAGGACCTCCAAATATGACTGTATTTGGGGATAAGGTTTTTAAAGGAGTAATTAAGTTAAAATGAGGTCATTAGGGTGGACCCTAAAGACAGGTGTCATAAGAAGAGGAGATGAGGACTCAGACACAGAGAGGTGCCCATGTGAAAACAGAGGGAGAAGGCGTCATCCGCCAGCCAAGGAGAGAGGCCTCAGGAGAAGTCACCCCTGCTGACACCTGATCTGGGACTTCCGGCCTCCAGAACCGGGAGAAAGTAAATGTCTGTTGTTTCAGCAGCCCAGCCTGTGGGACTTTGTTATGGCAGTCCCAGAAAACTAATAGTTGAGCATTCCTAATCTGAAAACAGGAACTCTGACGTGTTCCAAAATCTGAAACACTTTGAGTGCTGGCATGACGCTCCAAGGAAATGCTCACTGGAGTACTTCAGATTTCAGATTTTGGGGTTAGAGATGCTTAACCTGTAAGCACAGTACAAAACCCAAATCTGAAACACTTCTGTTCCAAGCATTTCAGACTAGAGGATAGCTGGCCTGTCCTATACGGCAAAACTGCAAAGTAAGGGTATTATTAACACAAAACAGAGGACAGTCACTACCTTGGAAGACGAGATCCAGAAAGCTGCACAGGAACTGGGGATGAAGGTCAATTTCTCCAACAGGGTGGAAGTCACTGGACTTGTTCATCATTCTTCATGTTTCCCATTCACATTTTCTTCACTGTTTTGTATGGATGATATAAAATTATTAAGGTGATAGCTGGAGCTCTGTAACAGCACTGTCCAATATGGTAGCCACTAGTCACATGGGGCTCTTTATATTTAAATTTATTAAAATCAAGTAGTAAGATCAGAAATGCAGTTCCTCATTCACACTAATCACATTTCCAGTGCTCAACAGGGACACGTGGCTGCAGGCTACTGATTTGGACATGACAAGTATAGAACATTTCTATCATTGTAGAAAATTCTATTGGACAGTGCTGCCCAACACAGTCTGATGGACAACAGGCCTTGGAATGAGACACCTATGCACCAGAATCCTCTCTCACTCCAAACAGGAAACAAACCCCACCCACTGTCCTACTGCCCATTGCACCTCTGAAGTGTCCTTGCAGGAAGTTAGTGAACCTTTTCCAACAGAGCCCTTGCCAGCGCTTAAATCACCACCAAAATCCCTTCCCCTTCCAAGGTCCTGGTGGCCTCGGAGCCCCCTTCTCAGTCCCCTACCCAGGGCCCCTATCTAGCATGAGTTACATCTGGAGGTAAAATCTCAGGGGATTTCACAGCAATGCAGTAGCACGTTATGGCCACTGAGACAAGTACACAAAGGAAACCGAGAGAAAGCACACTCACCATCCTACCACGGAGCTAGAACCAAAGCTCACTCAACAAAGATGGAGCTGGAGGAGTCACCAAAGGGAAGCTCCGTACTTCTGAAGCCAAGGTACTTGAATGCTAATCCCTTTCTTTTTGGTCTGGTTTCACCAATCTGATCATCTGTCAATCAGGTTTCAGTCTGACCTGTCCTTCATTCAACACCATTTCATAAAACGCGCCTCTACTGTCCGTGTGATGGCTTTTGCTGAAATACATCCAAATAAACACAGGCAGCAACACACCAAGCCCGTTCAAATAAGCATTTCAGATCTCAACCAGCAGGAATGCGCGTTAGTGGGTACCCGTGTCCGTGAGTCCAGTCTCCTCCAGGAGTCACGGGGGAGCGGGGAGCTTCAGGCATGACTTGTCTAATTGGCCTACAGAAAGGATTACTTACTGTTCACTTATCTTTGATTACCTTAACAAAAAAAAAAAAAGGCTTGGGGGCCTTCCAGGTACAGAAATTCTATACTCTCCATTCTCCAATCCCAGGCCTGGTTTTCTAAGATAGTTTTAAATATTGCCAGAATATTCATGCTGAAGGGTTTTATCTAAATCTTCTCCCTGATTTGATGGTATCTGACAAACTCATTACTCTCTTGGATTTTTGGCTGGAACCGGAGCTAACACATCCTGCGGGTTGTCATACACATTCAAGACTCTTCCCATCCACAGACCGTAATACGTTTCCATTTCCAGTTTGGCAAAATTTTTTAGTCTTTTTTTTTTTTTTTTCTAAATGAATGTCAGGATATAATCTGGATAGATAATAACATGCACAGAACTGAGTCCAAAAACGCTTTGAGGCCAATTTTTAAAATCATATTTTCTAAATTAAGTCATCAGTTTCCTGTGCTGGGAAGTGATCAGTTGGTTGGGGAGACCATTTTATTGCCTTAACTTGGTATTTTCTGTGTTATCACTGCAAGCTCACAAAGTCTTATGAACTTAAAGACTCACGAACTTAAAGAGCTAACAAGCCTGTATGTGCTCACGAACCCCACACCTGGTAGTTCTCAGAACCCAACATCGTAAAGCCAGCAGCTCTCTCTAGTTCCCACCTTTCTCCAAAATATTCTCTAGAAGGCATGAGCCTCTGCATCCCAATTCTCTCCCATTTGTCAATCAAACCCAAGGAAACTTCTTTCCAAATGGCAGCGTGGCCTGCAGCTGGCCAGAGAACAAAGCAGGAAGGCAAACAAAGAGCAAAGGGCACCGGAAAACTTTAAAAAAAAAAAAGCTTTTATTGAAGCTTTGCGGGTGGGGGTGGGGGTGGAAGTGGGACAGGGTGGGGAGGGAGATGGGGGAGGGAGATGGGGAAGGGGGGGTCTATCACTCCAAAGACCCTATCCTGCTGTGGGACCTCGAGGCAGGAATAACCATCCTTCAAGGACTTTGCTTTTAATAAAACCTAATTCTCAGCCCATTATCTCCATTCCTTGCATAGGGTGGAGGGGCTTGGGATTCCCCAGGACTGAGCAGCATGTGACACCTGCCTGGGCCTGCACCAGGGTGGCTACCACATGGGACCTAAGGGAAGGGGAGGCCAAATGCCTGGGTGAGACCAAGATCTGAAAAGATGCTGGTCCCCACCAAAATGTAATTCCAAATAGAAACAACAGGAAACCCTAAAGTGATCTACAAAAGCTCTGTCCCAAGGTTCTGACTTTTCTCCCATATGACCACTGTGATGCATTTCAATCAGATCAACTAATCAAAATATCTAGGTTTTACCTAAATCCTGTTGAATAACACAGAAAATAAAACAAAACTCATAAAATAAACAGGAAAATGTGAACTGTGAATATTTTATATTAGGAAATGCCTTTTTAAGTGTGATAATGGCAGTATGGTTACCTTTTTTTTTTTTTTTTTTTTTTGAGACAGAATTTCACTCTTCTTGCCCAGGCTGGAGTGCGATCCTCAGCTCACTGCAACCTCTGCTTCTGGGGTTCAAGCGATTTTCCTGCCTCAACCTCTCCCGAGTAGCTGGGATTACAGGCGTGCACCACTACGTCCGGCTAATTTTGTATTTTTTAGTAGAGACAGGATTTCACCATGTTGATCAGGCTGGTCTTGAACTCCTGACCTCAACTGATCCACCCGTCTCAGCCCCTCAAAGTGCTGGGATTACAGGTATGAGTCACCGCGCCCGGCCATGGTTACTTTTTAAAAGTGCATTTATCTTCTTGAGACATAAAGTTGCCGTCTTAAAAGGGCTTCACATTTAGAGGAGCAGGAGAGGAGGCCATGTGAACAGCCCAGATTGTTGGAGCCAGTGGGGGGCCACCATTCTCTCCCTCCCCTGGCCATTTCCAGGGTGTAGAGCTAGACAGGGCTGGACCGACAGCATGGGCCGGTAGATGTTGGCGTCTGTCTACACCGTGGCCTCTGCACACCCGCTTGCTTCCTCCCCACACCACGATCTGTTGACACCAAGGTCTCTGCTTACACCACGGACTGTGCACCCACATACCTCGCAGCAGTCCCTCCAGCCGAGTCACAACCTCTTCCTGCCCTCACGACGGGATCCCCCAGCCCTTTCCGACAACCCCCAGCTCGGGGCTGCAAGGGAGGGTTAAGCGATCCCTGAGCACTCTGCCTCTACTCTAGAAATACAAACCAAATTCCGCTCCCAGGATGAGGTTTCTCTTCTCCTGAAGAAAATCAGGTTTTTCAGCTTAGGGGTGGGAAGGCTGTAATTGCAGGACTCAGGGGTGCTTTGCCTGCAGCAGGGAGATTCACAGATGAAAGGAAAAGATAACGTTACCTGCTGGGGCATCTTTCTTCTCACCACGGGTCACGAACCCACTACTTACCATTTAAGAGCCCGCAGGAGAGGATTCCTAGGGATATACAAATACAGACCCAGAAGGGGCTCCCCTGACAGTCAGACTGCCTGCCGTTTCTTTTATCCAGGACTGTGGGGAAATTCAACCTCTTCAAAAATCCCGAGTGAGGCCGCTTTCAACTTCTCTGGCTCCCAGAGCAGATGCACAAAGGCAAGGATCGCCAGGACCCCTGCGGTCGAGGGCCTTGGGTTGCTCCTCCAGGTGACAGCCTCCCATACTATGCAAAGGGTACATTCGTGGGGAGGAGGAAATCTTTTAGAGTTCCATTTCTAACATCCAAGGGTTTGAAAGCTGCCATCACTTTTATAGCATTTTAATCTGGTATGTAATATTTCAGATGCATTCCAAAAAAGTGAATGAATACAACAGGCCAAATGAAAGGCTTATTCTTTTCTCAATCCCCCCTCCAATGGCACCCACAATCCCAAGTTTATACTAATACAGTACTTCCCTACAGTATGTATCCCAGAGCCGTACGCAGGATTTCCTTGCATAGGTTTAACCTTTACATAAATATCAAGCCTCCTACAACTTGTATTTCCTGCTCAACGCTGTGAGATCCATCTATGTTTGAACATGTGGCTCCAGTCAATAAATATATCACAATTTTTTCCCCACTGTTCTGTGGGTGAACATTTGGGTTACTTGCAGTTTTTGCAAATTCCAAAGCTGTTATGAACATTCCCCTTATGGTTTCCTTGCGCCTTTATCTGAGGGGTTCTCTGACCTATGCCTGGGAACGGAATTGCACTGAGTAGGAGAAGCATGATTCAGCTTTTCCAGTAATTGCTAAATTGCCCAATAATGTAGGTATAACGGGGCGTACCAATTCAGCGCCCTCCAGCAGTTTCTTCTCTCCATAACACTTTTTTTTTTCTTTTTTTTTCAGACAGAGTCTCGCTCTGTCACCCAGGCTGGAATGCAGTGGTGCCATCTCAGCTCACTGCAACCTTCGCCTCCCAGGTTCAAGCAATTCTCCTGCCTCATTCTCCTAAGTAGCTGGGATTACAGGCGCACACCACCATGCCTGGCTAATTTTTGTAGTTCTAGTAGAGACAGGGTTTCGCCATGTTGGTCAGGCTGGTCTGGAACTCCTGACCTCATGATCTGCCCGCCTCGGCCTCTCAAAGTGCTGGGATTACAATCATGAGTCACCGCGCCAGGCCTCCATAACACATTTTTGCCAACACTTGGTATAGTCAGACTTCTACACTTTTGTGAATTTGATGGGAGCAACGCTTTTTCCACACTTTTGTGAATTTGATGGTACTTCCTTATGATTTTAACTGTATTTCCCCAGTTCATGAGTGTTTGGAAGATTTTCCTAGTGAACTGCCTGTTTATAGTTTTGAGACCCATTTATTTAGGGCGTAGCTGAACGTGGGTTTAAAGACTTAAAGGTACGAACAATGGACTACAAACACCTCTGCTCGATGGGAAGCAAACAGTGCCAGATGAGAGGACACAGAAGCAGGAACACACCTGGGTAAGAATCACAACCTCCTCTTCCGCTAGATGCTGATATCCTCCTGCAAGACTCAATGAAGACACGTTTCATCCTAGATCTCTAGCGACTACTGGAAGACACTCCTAAAACTCCTTCCTGGCTTAATGTCTCTGTCCTACCCAGGAACAAGTGAAGCCAGGCTGGGATGGGATGGAAGCTGTAATCAATGCTTCTGCCTCCCCGCCATGCGTCCTCTTCCACTCTGCTCTCAGAGGCTGATTAAGGCCGTGCCATTTGCTCAGAAACGGCAGAATAAAACGTGTCCGTGTGCGTTACCAAGAGACAAGGGGCAACTGGACGAAACGAGTAGGAGGAAATCAGACAGGACTGGAAAGGGGGGCTGGCGATGCTCAGAGACCTCTGGCTGGCCGTGTCCTGCACAGGAAGCAACGTTCTTTCTTCACTCACTCCCCTCTGCTGCCAAAGCCCACTCTGCTGTGACAGACTGTCTACAAAACAGGTTGCTGGGGCTTCTTCTTCCATTTTTTTCATGTTTACGGCTCTGCCCGTTTTTCCTTTGCTTTCTAACTGACTCTGAACAACTTCTTGGAAAAACAAATGATCACGAACAACCTCGGACGACAGACCGTGTAATAAAATAGAGAGCTGGAGCTTCACTCCCCCATGCCTAGCTAATAAAATACTAAATCTTACGTTCAGTGAGACTGGTAAGAGGACGCCACGGACGCCAGTCCCAGGACACATCCTGAGAGTGGGAACACCTGGTACCAAGGAAGGAGAAGCCGCTGCCTGCAGAGCTGAAGCCATCGAGTGTCCCACTCCCAAGCCCTGGGGGAGGAGAGGGGCAAGGACAGAGGAGCCAGGAGTCCCGGGGTCCCAGGCACACAACACTGGGCTGCTGCGCAGATCACACCCTCAGGTGGACACACTGTCAAGGTGCCTGTCTCAAATCTATACCATGAAGGCGCCCCAACAGGACACTGAGAAAGAATGTCCACACACACTAGACATACTGCACGCTAGACGTGGTTGGGGGCTTCCTCGGCGTCTCTGTTTCTGTTGCCAGGCGACTCCAGACCTGGAGCTGCTGACCCTCTCTGTGAGGAGCCGGACAGACTCCCCAGCTCTGTACAGGCTGCATAGCTGCCCACACCTACAGGGCGGGCTGGAAGACCACCGCAGTCCCTTCCATCTGAAGCAGTCAATGGCTCAGGAAAAATGCCGAAGCCAGTATCAGACACCAAAACTCCGCACACCACACACTAACTCCCTAAAACTGGGTCAAGGACCTGGCTTTGGAAAGGCTGACTCAGGAAATTTCTTGAAGTCCAAAAACTTAGTGCTAAGCTTTACAATCTACATTTGTGCACCCCGCCTCCTTGAGGAGCCTTCGGAGGGAGAAATGATACTGTTTTATGGCTGACCCACACAGGAGACACACTCTGCACAGCAAAAAGCTCCAGATTAATCCTGGCTTGGGCCCATAAGAACAGTGGGTGTAATATTCGGGGGGAGGGGGTTACAATTCCTGCAGCCAAAGCTCCTGGCTGAGCCAACCAGAACAGGCAAAAAGGCTCCAGGGCTTTTTCTCCCACACAGACTGGGCCCCAGGGCCGGGGAGTCAATGGCTTCAGACAAGTGAGTCGTAAGAGCCCAGTGAGGGTCAGAGGTGTTCTTGGGCTGGACTGCTTGTTTCTTAGAAAATGGAAACCTCGTTCCCTCACTTTCTGGAAGAAAGTCTGAAGAGAAAATCCAGAACCAGATGGAGACACCAGCAGGACCGGCAAGGACCCAGGCACAGGAGCCAGGGAGCCACTGTCAGCCTCAAACAGGGAAACCCTCAGCCTCAAGCAGGGAAACGCTAACTGTGGAATGAACAAGTTCCACGTAAGGAGGCAGGAATCTTCTCCTGCAAAGCTGTTTCTTCAT